CTGCAATGGAATAGGTGTTGCCTTTTTCATTATATGGTTTAGAATGTTGACTTTGTATGTGGTTGGGAAAGGAAGAGGAGGGAGAGGAGGAGGAAGAAAGAGAGAGAGAGAGAGAGAGAGAGAGAGAGAGAGAGAGAGAGAGAGAGAGAGAGAGAGAGAGAGAGAGAGAGAGAGAGAGAACGAAGTATTAGGTATAGTGGAAGAGAAAGAAAAATAGGTAGAAAATGGGAAGGGAGGGGGAGGAGCAGAAGTGGAGAGGCAAAACGAAGAAACGAAAAAGTGGAAACAGGAAACAGGACGACTGGGACGAAAAAGGAAGAGGAAGAAAGAGAAGAGGAATGAAGACTATAAAAGGAAGAGAAGGCTTAGTAGGGTATGATAACGAAGGAGGGTTGGAAGAGGGAAAGAGGAAGAATAAGAGAGAGATGGAGGAATTACGAAAGAGGTGAGTGGATGGGAGATGAGAGAAAACGCCAGTAGTTGTGAAAAATAAATTGCAACATGCAAAAAAAAGGAAGGGTGAGCAATGTAAAAAAAAATAAGAAGGAAAGAAAAAAAGATAAATAATATGGAATAAGAAAAATTAACAGTATAAAAAAAGATACTAGAAAGACATACAAAAAAAATAAAAATAAAAATAAAACGACAAACAAACAAAGCACTCATATGACATAAATATGACATGTAATTTAAAAGAAAACAAATCAAGGAATATGAAAAACGATGAAAAAAAAAACTCAGAAAAACATGAAATTTTCAAAATCAGAATGGAAACTTACATATTATTTATCTCTATCAACCAATCTCTCTATCTATCTATCAACAGCATCTAACTAAATTGGATAGTAAGAAGGGTAAGAAAGAGGAAGGAAGAGAAAGAAAGAATAGAAGAGGTAGGAAGCGAAAATCCCCAAAACTATTTACCGACGAAGAATAATTCTGCATGATCTTGCAACATTCCAGGTAGTTGCAGATTGCTTGATCGGCTTAGATTCAAGAAATGCAATAACAACGGTAATTCGTTATCACAATTACCATTATTCTTGTTATCACCATTATTATTGTTATTATCATTACCATTATCATTATCATTATCATCATTATCAGTATTATAATTATCATTAGTGGTAGTAATAGTACTATTATTATTATCATTATTATCATTATTGGTATTTTGTTATTGATAATGATAATAATACTATATTATCATTATCATTATTATTATTGTTATTGTTGTTGTTATTATTGTTATTATTATTGGTATTATTATCTTTATTATAATTATTATTATTATTATTATTATTATTATCATTATCATTGTTTATTATTATCATTATTATCATTAGTAGTAGTAGTTGTTGTTGTAGTAGTAGTATATTATAATTGTTATTATTGCTATAACTATGATTGTTATTATCGTTATTATTATAATTATCATTATCATTATTATTTTTATTTCCATTATCATATTTATTATCATCATAATTATTATTATAATCATTCTCAACATATCTGTCATTATCACCAATATTATTGCTATCATAAAAATTGATAATAAAAATGATAATGAAGTTACCATTATCATTATGATATTAGCACGCTATTGTCATATTATCACATTATCATCGTGATATTATCATCATAATGACAATATTCTCATCATCATTTTCATCATTAATATCACTACATCACTACATACGGTACATTCAGTCCATTATGTGAACTATGCAAGATGCATTACAGGTGACATTTACTAGTTCAGATAACCTAATGGTCGCCCTTACAGCCATATGATCGCGTCGATAGCTTGAAACTGTGGGATATGGTGTTCTCTGCCAATTTTTCTTTATTTATTTTTTTCTGGGTCTTGCTCTTGACTCGGTCTATTTTTTTCTGTTTTGTTTCTCTTACTGCCTCTCTCTCTCTCTCTCTCTCTCTCTCTCTCTCTCTCTCTCTCTCTCTCTCTCTCTCTCTCTCTCTCTCTCTCTCTCTCTTCTCCTTCTTCTCTCTCTCTTCTCTCTCTCTCTCTCTCTCTCTCTCTCTCTCTCTCTCTCTCTCTCTCTCTCTCTCTCTCTCTCTCTCTCTCTCTCTTTCTCCTTCTTTCTCTCTCTTTCTCTCCCCTCTCTCTCTCTCTCTCTCTCTCTCTCTCTCTCTCTCTCTCTCTCTCTCTCTCTCTCTCTCTCTCTCTTTCTCTCTCTCTTTCTGTTTTGTTTCTCTTACTGTGTCTATATTTCTCTTCCTCTCTTTCTCTTTCTCTTTCTCATTCTTTCTCTCTCTCTCTCTCTTTCTGCCTCTCTCTCTCTCTTTCTCTCTCTCCCTCTTCCCACTTTTATCCCATTTAGGCGAATGAATCGAGAAATAAATAGAATAAGATTTTCAGTATGCAAATTTTCCTCCCATTGCTAATTCGGAAGATCATCATAAAATATACGTAAAATGAGCTGACGAGGAAGAACGAAAGAAGCACAGGCGCACGAACAAAGAACAAATCAAAAGTCAAAGAAAAAGAAAAGAAAGAAAGAAAGAAAAAAGAAAACACATTTTAAACCGAAAAACAAAATTCTTTCCTCGCGTGGGTGGTATGGGGGGGGGGGGTAGAGGTGTATGTGTGTGGAGGGGGGGAGGGGGGGGGGAGGAGTTGGGGGTTGGTATTTGGTAAAGGGTAAGGGTGTGAGTAAAGGGGGAATGGGTGTTCTGTAGGGGGTTGGGGGGGTGAGGGGAGGGGAGGGGGGGTAAGGGTTGGTATTCCATAGAGCTAGGGGGTAGGGGGAGGGAGGGAGGGGGGGGGGCAAGGGAACAGTAATCGACAGGGTGTAGAGGGAAAGGGATAAGGGAATAAAGCTCGGTAGGGGGTAGGAAGAAGAAGAAGAAGGGGGGGAGGGGGATGCCCACTGTTAGGGGAACGGGGAGTTGAAGGTAGGTGTAGGGGAGGCGGAGAAGGGGGGGGGGGGGGAAGGGAGGTAAATACGTGCATCGTCTCGAACGTGATAAGGACATCATAAAACTGAACGCTTCATGGGCATGCTAATCACTCAGTATGCCCCCCCCCCCTCCCTCCCTTAAGATATAGGGACTCCCAGCTTTTTAAAAGGGAAGGTCTGGGGAGGGGGGGGGAGGGGTAGGAGGAGGATGCAGAGGGGTAGGGGGGGAGGTTGGGGAAGAGGAAGGGAGAGGATGGGGGGGAGGGGAAGGGGGGGGAGGGGTTGGATAGTAGGTGGATGGGATAGAAGATTTAGGAAGGAAGGAGAGGAATGATGAAAAAGGGATGAAATAAGAATGAGAAGAAGAAACAGGAAGCAATAAGGTAGGGTGAAAAAAAAAGAGAATCACGGAGGGTGAAGAAAAAAGGAGAAGGAGGGAAGGCGCAAGTAGAAACAAAAAAAAAGAGGGGGACGTAGAGCGAAAGGGGGGGATCGGCGAAGGGAGAAGGGGCAGGGGGGGGGGGGGCGCAGGGAGAAGGGGCAGGGGGGGGGCGCAGGGAGAAGGGGCAGGGGGGCGCAGGGCAGAGATGCATTATGAAGCCCCTCCCTCGGTCCTCGCTCGCCCGCCCCTCCTCCGGGCCCGACTCGACTTCCTTGTGCCTTTTCGCTCTCCTCTCGCCTTTTCTTTTCGCTTGTTACTTCTCTTATTTGTTTACATATGTCTGCACACACACACACACACACACACATACATATATATATATATATATATATATAGATAGAGAGAGAGATAGATGATATGAGACGAGAATTATAGGATAGACTAGATATATAGACATAGTATGTTAATAGAGTAGAGATATAGATCGAGTATAATATAGTAGATATATATAGAGAGATATACTATATATAGATTATATATATATATATATATATATATAATATATATAACATATCTATCTTATAGACATATACATACATACATATATATATAATCTATATATATATATATAATAATATATAGTATATAATAGATATAGAGCATACATATATTAAATATGGAGTATAATATATATAATATATTATATATATATAATATATAATAATATATATATTATAATATAATATTATATTATATATAATACATATATAATATATAATATATATATATTATAGATATATATATTATATATATAGTATATTCTATATATATACATATCTACATATATATATATATAATATATATATATTATTATATATATATATATATATACTATATATATATATATATATATATATATATATCCTCACTTCCCTACTTCCTCCCTTTTTCTACCATTCCTTTCTATTCACGACTTTAGTTCTTCAAGATGGGCCTTGAACCCCCCCCCCCTCTTCACGCTAAATAGTAGTGTAAGGCGAAGGCTTGGAGAGTGGGAGAGGGAGGGGAGAGGGAGGGGGGGGTGCGTGTGGGGAAGAAGGGAGAGGATAGGGAAGGATGGGGGCCAATGGGGGAGGGAAGGGAGATGGGAGGGCGAGTGGGAGGGGGGGAGTGGTGGGAGAGGAAGGAACAGGGAGGGGAGAGGGAGGGGAGAGGTAAGGAGGTAGGAAGGGGACAGGGAGAGAGAGGAAGGGTGGGGAGAGGGAGGGGGGAGAGAGGGGAGAGGAAGGAGGGAGGTAGGGAGGGGACAGGGAGAGGGGAAGGTGGGGAGAGGGAGGTGGGACGAGAGGGGAGGGAAGGAGGGAGGTCTATGAGGGGACAGGGAGCGGGGAAGGTGGGGAGAGGAAGGGGGAGAGAGGGGAGAGAAGGAGGGAGGTAGGGAGGGGACGGGAGAGGGGAACGTGGTAGTGAGAGTGAAGGGGGGAGAGAGGGGAGAGGAAGGAGGGAGGTTAGGGATAAGGAGGGGCAGGGAGAGGGGAAGGTGGGGAGAGGGAGGGGGGAGATGAGGGGAGAGGTAGGAATGAGGTAGGAAGGGGACAGGGGAGATGGGGAACGGTGGGGACAGGGAGGGGGGACGAAGAGAAGGGTAGAGGAAGGGGGAGGAAGGTGTAGAGAAGGAGGGGAGAGGGACAGAAGAG